GAGTACTGCATTATTGAGGTCAACGCTCGTCTGTCACGATCCTCTGCTCTGGCCTCCAAGGCTACCGGATACCCTCTTGCCTTCATTGCTGCCAAATTGGGTCTTGGTATCCCCCTCAACGAGATCAAGAACTCGGTCACCCAGTCCACTTGCGCCTGCTTCGAACCCTCGCTTGACTACTGCGTGGTCAAGATCCCTCGTTGGGATCTGAAGAAGTTCACTCGCGTGTCAACTCAGCTTGGTTCTTCCATGAAGAGTGTTGGTGAAGTTATGAGCATTGGCCGTACCTTCGAGGAAGCTATCCAGAAGGCCATTCGCATGGTTGATTTCCACAACCTTGGTTTCAACGAGTCCGATGCCCTCATGTCCATCAAGGGCGAGCTCCAGACTCCCTCTGACCAGCGTCTGTTTGCCATTGCCAATGCCATGGCCGCCGGTTACACCGTTGATGACATCTGGAAGCTCACCAACATTGACAAGTGGTTCCTCACCCGCCTCAAGGGCCTCAGCGACTTCGGCAAGTCCATGTCCGCCTTCAATGCTACCTCCGTGCCCATGCCGATGATCCGCCAAGCCAAGCAGCTCGGTTTCTGCGATCGCCAGCTCGCCAACTTCTTGGACTCCAACGAGCTCGCTGTGCGCCGCATGCGTGTTGAGGCTGGCATCACTCCTATTGTCAAGCAGATTGACACCGTCGCCGCCGAGTTCCCAGCCTTCACCAACTATCTCTACCTTACCTACAATGCTTCCCAGCACGATCTGTCTTTCGACGATCACGGTATCATGGTTTTGGGCTCTGGTGTCTACCGCATCGGTTCTTCGGTCGAATTTGATTGGTGTTCCGTACGTACCATTCGTACGCTCCGCGAGCAGGGCCACAAGACTATCATGGTCAACTACAACCCGGAGACTGTTAGTACCGATTACGATGAGGCTGACCGCCTTTACTTCGAGAACATCAACCTGGAGACTGTTCTTGACATCTACCAGCTGGAGACTGCTAGCGGTGTGATCATGTCTATGGGTGGTCAGACCCCTAACAATATTGCTCTGCCTCTGCACCGCCTCAATGTCAACATCCTGGGTACCTCTCCCGAGATGATTGATGGTGCTGAGAACCGTTACAAGTTCTCCCGCATGTTGGATCGTATCGAGGTCGATCAGCCCGCCTGGAAGGAGCTGACTAGCATTGACGAAGCCCGCGGTTTCTGTGACAAGGTCGGCTACCCCGTGCTGGTCCGTCCCTCATACGTGCTCTCCGGTGCTGCTATGAACACTGTCTATTCCGAGCACGATCTGGCCAGCTACTTGAACCAGGCTGTTGACGTCTCGCGTGAGCACCCTGTTGTTATCACCAAGTACATTGAGAACGCCAAGGAGATTGAGATGGACGCTGTCGCCCGCAACGGTGTTATGGTTGGCCACTTCATCTCCGAGCACGTTGAAAACGCTGGTGTTCACTCTGGTGACGCTACTCTGATCTTGCCCCCCAGGATCTGAGCCCGGAGACCGTCCGTCGCATTGAGGAGGCTACCCGGAAGATCGGCAATGCCTTGAACGTTACTGGTCCTTACAACATTCAGTTCATTGCCAAGGATAATGACATCAAGGTCATTGAGTGCAACGTTCGTGCCTCGCGGTCCTTCCCCTTCGTGTCCAAGGTCATGGGTGTTGACCTGATCGAGATGGCCACCAAGGCCATGATTGGAATTCCATTCCAGGAGTACCCCCCTGTGTCGGTTCCCAAGGACTACGTCGGTGTCAAGGTTCCCCAGTTCTCGTTCTCGCGTCTGTCCGGCGCTGACCCCGTCCTGGGTGTCGAGATGGCCTCCACTGGTGAGGTCGCTTCGTTCGGTCGTGATAAGTACGAGGCCTACCTGAAGGCTCTCTTATCCACTGGGTTCCGTCTTCCCCGCCGCAACATCCTGTTCTCCATTGGTGCCTACAAGGAGAAGCTTGAGATGCTGCCTTCCATCAAGAAGCTCCACGATCTCGATTACAACCTCTTCGCCACTGCTGGTACCGCTGATTTCCTCAAGGAGAACGGCGTGCCTGTCAAGTACCTTGAGCATCTTCCGGATCACGAGGAGGAGGACATGAAGTCTGAGTACTCTCTCACTCAGCACTTGTCCAACAACCTCATCGATCTGTATATCAACTTGCCGTCCAACAACCGCTTCCGTCGCCCGGCTAACTACATGTCTAAGGGTTACCGTACTCGTCGTATGGCTGTTGACTACCAGACTCCCCTGGTTACCAACGTCAAGAACGCGAAGATCCTGATCGAGGCTATTGCTCGCCACTTCCCTCTGAACATCATCCCTGCCGACTACCAGACTAGCCACCGCACTGTGGTCCTTCCTGGTCTGGTCAACATTGCTGCATTCGTCCCCAACCTCGTTTCCGCTGGTTCCAAGGATTTCGAAACTGTTGCCAAGGCTTCGATTGGAGCCGGTTTCAGCATGATCCGCGTGATGCCAGTCGGTGTTGATAGCTCAGTCACCGAGTCCCACGACCTGAAGATTGTTCAGCAGAACGCTCACGGCAAGTCGCTCTGCGACTTCAACATCTCTGTTGCTGCCACCGCCACCAACTCGGACCAGATCATCCAGATGGCTGGTGAGGTTGGCTCTCTCTTCGTCCCCTTCAACCACCTGTCGGGCAACATCAACAAGGTGGCCACTGTCACCAACCACTTCAGTTCTTGGCCCTCGAGCAAGCCCCTGATCACTGATGCCAAGAGCACTGATCTTGCCTCGATTTTGCTGCTGGCCAGCCTTCACAGCCGTAACATTCACGTCATGAGTGTTACCTCCAAGGAGGATATCAGCCTCATTGCTCTGAGCAAGGAGAAGGGCCTGAAGGTGACCTGCGATGTTTCTATCTACTGCCTCTTCCTCTCCCGCGAGGAATTCCCGGCCTGCAGCTCCCTGCCCACCGCTGAGGACCAGAAGGCTCTGTGGGAGCACATGAGCACTATCGATGTCTTCTCCATTGGCAGCATTCCCTTCCAGCTTGCTGGAAAGGAGGCCACCCCCGAGTCCGGTATCGCTGAGTCTATCCCTCTGCTGTTCACTGCCGTCTCGGAGGGCCGCCTGACCATTGAGGACATCACCGCTCGTCTCTGCGACAACCCCAAGAAGATCTTCGAGCTGCACGACCAGGTCGATAGCTCGGTCGAGGTCGAGGTTGACCGCCCCTACGTTTTCACGAACCCCCAGACCTGGTCTCCGTTCAATGGCAAGACCATGCGTGGCTCCGTCCAGCGTGTTGTTTTCCAGGGCCAGACCTCTTGCCTCGATGGCGAGATCACCACGAATGCCATCAAGGGTGCCGACATGTCCAGTCACCGCATCATTCCCACCTCGCCTGTACAGAAGCCCATGACCCCCATGGCCCGCCCGGAGAGTTCCCTCGATAGACACGTGTCTGTCTCTGGCACTCCTGGCCGCCGCTTCCGGGCCATGGACAATGCTGTCCCGACCACCGGCGAACTTGGTCCTCCCCTTTACGTTGCCTCCTCGCAGCTCTCCCCCTCGCTGGCCGATATGCTCTCCCGCTCTCCTTTCCGTGGAAAGCACATCTTGTCTGTGAACCAGTTCTCTCGCGCGGACCTGCACCTGCTGTTCACCGTTGCCCAGGAGATGCGTCTTGGTGTCCAGCGCCACGGTGTCCTTGACCTCCTGAAGGGTCGTGTTCTGACCACCCTCTTCTACGAGCCCTCTACTCGCACCTCGGCCTCGTTCGACGCCGCCATGCAGCGCCTCGGTGGACGTACCATCGCCATCGCCACTGAGCACTCTTCTACCCAGAAGGGTGAGTCTCTTCAGGACACCATCCGCACTCTCGGCTGCTACAGCGATGCTGTTGTCCTGCGTCACCCCGAAGCTAGCAGCACCGAGGTCGCGGCCAAGTACTCCCAGGTCCCCGTCATCAACGGTGGCAACGGCGCTCTTGAGCACCCCACCCAGGCTTTCCTGGACTTGTTCACCATCCGCGAGGAGCTGGGCACTGTCACCGGCTTGACCATCACCTTCACTGGTGACCTCAAGTACGGCCGCCCCGTGCACTCTCTCATCAAGCTGCTCCAGTTCTACGATGTCCGCATCCAGCTTGTTGCCCCCAAGGCCCTTGCTCTCCCTGAGGATGTCCGCCAACTGATTGTTGCTTCCGGCCAGTTGGTCCTCGAGTCTGAGGAGCTGACTCCTGAGATTGTCGCCAACTCTGACATCCTGTACTGCACCCGTGTGCAGAAGGAGCGCTTCGTTGACCTCGCCGAGTACGAGCGTCTCAAGAACACCTTTATCATCGACAACGCCTTGCTCAAGCATGCCAAGGAACAAATGGTCGTCATGCACCCTCTCCCTCGCAATGCCGAGATCTCCGAGGAAGTCGACTTCGACCAGCGGGCTGCTTACTTCCGCCAGGTATGTTTTGAATCTCCCCTGATATCCTTGAACAATATACTAATCTATGTCACAGATGCGCTACGGCCTTTACTGCCGCATGGCTCTCCTTGCTCTCGTCTTGGCGCCATGAATATAAAACTCTTTTGCCATTATAATTATGTGGGAAAGGGGAATCCATCATGGATTCATACGAGACATGTTTTTCCTTTTTTTGTTTGAAAAGTTCTGTTTTTGATACTCCGTAAACAGCGTGAAGTCAGCTGTATAGATTAGATGAATCTCCGTTTCATTTGACGGTCCCGTTCAGTGTGTATATTTTTATGTTCTATGTATATTATGTGTTATGTGTGATGGTGATGTGTGTGTTATGTGTTATGTGTGTTTTGCGTGTTTTGTGTGTTTGGCGTGTTTCTATTTTGGGGTCATTTGGGGTCATTTGGGGTCATATTTTGGGTTTGGACATCGTGGATTCTTTTTTTTTTTTTACTTGGCATCTTCTTGGGCTTGGGACTTGGAAATTGGGGGAATTGGGGGCATTTTTCATTTTTATATCTGACAATCTAATTCACTAATTCATATGAGAACGTCTTTTCAAGTTTGGAACACCCAGCGAGGATCTTTGTCTCCTTGGAATTCTCCGACATCACCCACATCTCCCATCAACGGGCTCAGTCCCTGGACTTCTCTAACACGCTCCTTTTCGGCATTTTCCCGTCGGAGAACCTCCCATAGGACCCCAACGACCACAATGTTGGCAACCAGATACCCCAAGGCAAAGCCATGACCCAGGAAGTACCGTGGGCTACTCTCGGTACGATATAATTGTGTTCCAAGGACCGCACCCAGATTGCCAATTGAGATCTGCATGGCATTGGCAATGCAACGTTTAGTCTGACCAGATACGTTATTGGCAGGCCAAGACAGCACAATGGCCACAGCTGGGTAAATGCCTGCCGCAGCGAAGATGGTTCCGACATAAGACACGCCAGCACGGTGTTGTGATAGCAGCAGAATGTATCCGATACACCCAATGGCGGATGATCCCATGATAAATGGGGCACGACTGCGAGTCTTCTCAGAAGCAATCGCAACTCCAATGGTCATGAAGAACGCTACCGCGTACGGTGGCACGGAAAGCAGCTGGGCCTTTGCGGCTGAGTATCCGAGTTCTTTGATGATCGTTGGAAGGAAGAGCGATAATGTATACAGTGGCAAGGACATTGTGTGGAATCCAAGTCCATACAGCCAGACTTTGGGGTTTTTGAATGCATCCAGTACTGCTGACCAGGTGAATTCCTCATCCCGAGTGGCATCGCTGTCATTCTTCAAACGTAATTGGACGAACTCCCGTTCTTCCTTTGATAGGAACTCGGCTGTTGATGGGTAATTATACACCCAGAAATAGGCGATAATCGAAACAACAATGGTCAATAGCCCTTCCTAAATTGGTAGTAAGCTTGTGTTGATATCAAGATGATATACGACGCACCAGAATGAAGATCCACCTCCAACCATTCAAGTTTCCCACGCCTTGCATGTGAGAAATTGCCTAGAAACCTGTCAGTGGTGTTGATCTAGTGGAACAATAAAAAACCAACCCAAGCTAGGATACCACCAAAGGCACCTGCCAGCGAGGCAGCACTGAAAAATAGAGCCACGCGATAATGTTGCTCATTCCGTTTATACCACATGGACAGGTAAAACACCACCCCGGGGAACAATCCACTCTCTGCAACACCCAAGAAGAATCGTGAAGACAGATATCCTGAGTAATTCTGTACTACTCCCAGGAGTGTAGCGACTACTCCCCAGACAAGAGTGAGAGTCGGAAGCCATATTCTCGGGGTGGTTTTTTTCAAGATGATCTGGATGTAGCTGATTAGTATATAATCACTTATATCAACATGTATTGCTCACATTGCAAGGAATCTCAAAAAGAACATAGCCGATAAAGTATAGAGTCAGACCTGTAAGGTACTGGTTTCCTGCTATATCCCAATTAGCTCTCGGGTCGATATCAAAACATACGAAACATACACATGTTGATGTCGGTTGTCATTCCTTCTAAGCGGGCATTTCCCACATTACTGCGATCCAAAAAGGACAGTAAATAGAGTAGTGTGAGTGGTGGTAAAAGACGATAGTCCAATTTCCGTAACAAGGCCTTCTCGTTGATGCCCTTAATACTTGAACTGGTATCGCTCTCGGTGCCAGTAGGCACATTGTGCTTTTCTGAGGCCATGGTAACTAGGATAATCGGGTTTGAGCTATGATATATGGATATATGTGAAGAGAGGGGAAAATAGAAGAAATATAAAACATCTAGCACATCTAGCACCTCTAGCACACCATTTATTATCCGCAATAAAGACATCCTAGAGACGAATAAGATATAGGGAAATAAGTAGGAAATGAGCAATATTGGGGTTGAAATGACGAGATCAGCCACATGAAGATCGGCGTACTTTGTAGGGACTAGGGGATTTGTCTATCTCGGATATTTAGATGTCCTGAAGTATAGAGAGATATAAGTATTCATATTACTATACATCTATAGAAATGTTCATTAGATTAAAGTACTTTGTGTTAGAAATTACTTCAAGAGTCGCTACTGCCATAAGTATAGGATGTACTATATTCTATGCCTAATCTATAGTACTGGTCTCATTGTATATTCGTTCATTAGCACCTCCAGCTGTATGTAGGTACCCTTCGTCTCATGCCTTATCAGGCCAATACTTTTGCACAATGACCTTCTTATTGACCTTGCCCATGGCATTGCGCTCGATCCCATCCACAGCTTTTAGAACGGTTGGGATCTTATAAGGAGCCATCTCGTTCTTGAGCTCAGCACGTAGAGTAGGAAGATCGAGCGTATTCTATATCACTGTTAGTTATCAAAGATATTTCCTCCTGGATGGGCACACGGAAACATACCCCTTCTCGGAACTTGACGACCGCAGCCACTCGCTGGCCCCATTCTTGGTCTGCCAATCCAACTACAGCAACTTCTTGAATCGCATCAATGGCCAGCATCTTGCGCTCAACTTCCAACGCCGAAATCTTATACCCACCCGATTTGATCAGGTCGACAGAAGCACGGCCTTGGATGAAGTAAGCACCGCTCGAATCGCGTTTAGCAACATCGCCGGTCTTGAACCATCCATCCGCTGTAAACTCCGACGCTGTCGCTTCCGGTTTCCGCCAGTACTCACAGAAGACATTACCGCCCTTAACCTCAATCATGCCGTCCTCATCCACACCATCCACAATCCGACCGGTTTCTTTTTCGGTCAGTCGGACCTCGACGCCGGGCAATGGCCACCCCACACTGCCATCGATACGCTTTTGAATATCCAGCCCACAACTGATCGCCATGCCGATCTCAGTCATTCCATATCGCTCTAATAAAACCTGGCCGGTGATTTCGGCGAACTTTTCTTTGATTGGGGTTGGGAGGGCCGCAGATCCACTGACGACCAGCCGTAAAGTACGAGCTCCAGCCCGCGCGGCATCTTCTTGTTCCGTCCCGCGGATATGAGCATCGAAGTAGTCATTCAAACGGGAGTAAATGGTCGGCACAGCCATGAACAAGGTCGAGGAGCCGCGGTCCTGCCACCGCTCCCAGATCACTTTCGGATCAAACTTCGGATGCATCTCCACCGTGGTACCACTGAGGAAACTGGCAGCCAGGCCATTGATGATACCGTGGACGTGGTGGAGCGGTAGTACGTGAATAAGACAGTCCGAGGGAGAGTATTCCCAGGCCTTGACCAGACAGCTTGCTTGGAAAGTGATATTCTCGTGTGTCGTCACGCAGCCCTTGGGGTTTGATGTGGTTCCAGACGTATAGATCATCAGGGCGCGGCGAGTGAGCGCAAACGGTGGGGAGAAAGAAGGTAGGGTCGGGGCTTCATTTCGAGAGAAGGGCTCCAGTCCCATGAATGGTATATGGTCGGCGCATCCTTCGCGCAGCGAGGGTGCGATCTTCTCGAAATGCGGATGCACAATAATCAATGAGGGGTCCGAATCTCCGACGGTGTATAGCAGTTCCTTCACTGGGTGACTTGTGCCTAATGAATGTTAGCATTGGATACATGAGGTTTCACATTGCTGCGCGTCGCTTCCACCTACACAGTGGAACACAGACACCTCCGGCGGCCCACACGGCCCATTGCGTAGCAACGTAGTCATATCCATTTGGGACCAAGAAGGCAATGCGTCGTTCTTCCAAATCTCCTGTCAATCGCAATTGTTCAATTATGCGCTTCCTTAATGCTGCTGCATCGGCCAGTAATTGAACGAATGTGAAGGATTGTTGTTTGGTGGTATCGATGACGGCGATCTTTTCGGGATTCTGTGCATGTTGCTCTGCTGCAACAAAGAGAGGCAGAGAAGGAACCGGCATATTTAATTTCTTTCTCAAAGATAGGTATAAGAATCTGGAGGGGTGTTAAAGGTGAGCACAGGAACAAGCGGGCCAGCTATTTAGCCGATTGCGGAGAAAACGCCCATGTCCACTTGTGGAAAGATTCAATATACTGCTATTAATATAGTTGTTATAGTTGTTATAGTTGTTATAGTTGTTATATTTATAGAATATTGAATTATATATTGTAAGATTATAAGATATTTATCTCCAAGGCTAATAACTACATGTAACTAGTTAACTAACTTAGCCTGTGGAAGCCTAACAAACAAGGCATCTAAACAATTACTCCCTAGTTATATTCCCCTCTATATGACCCTACCGCCTCTAAGACTGGTATTTTTAAGGTGTTAGTATATACCCAGGAGAAACATACAAAAAGATAATATAGAGACCTGAAAGTAGAAGTGAGATTATGGGAGGAATACCATTTTATCTCCGTCTCGGTTTTGGACATAACTAGTTCATAGCAGAATAATCACATAAATTTCAAATCCAAGTCGCTAATTCGTCAACCACAACTACAGCATAACTACCGGGGATGGGGTTTGTGCCAGCTCACCCGGTTGAACGGTGCGTGGACCATCAAACGACCCGTCGCCATTCTCTTCCAGTCCACGAGCCACCAGGTCTGTGAAATCTACACCCACTTCCACCAAGAGATCGGCATGATCGTGCACAATGTCGAGACATTTCTGCCAAACCGATGTGCCACGCTGCACGCTGCTAAGCTGTCGGCTGAGCAGAGCATTGAACCCATCGAGGTGATGCTTAGCCCAGCGAATGCAAGAGCTGCTCATTACACTAGGGAAGCATTGTTGATAGATACCGATGGTGTTCTTGATCAAGGAAAAATAGACGTAGGAGATCTGGAAGATGTAAAGAGGCAGATCACCTTCAAAGATACAGGCCCTTGGAAAGAAAAGTCAGCATGCAAACATAAGTTTGTGTGATAAGATGAAGAACATACCGAATGCGTTGGCCGATCACGTCCGAACGTGCCTTCAGGTACGTCTCGCGTGCCTGATCCTCAAACCCTAACCTCGTCAACCAGGTAACGTGAGTCTTGGTAGCCGCCGGGAACGAGTGTTTGTCGACTAGTGCCCGCGAGAGAATACCAGCAAGCCGAGTCGCTCGTCCGTCGACCTTGAAATTGATGACGTCTTGTGCAATGGTGTTGCCCTTGAGACCCTTGGCCAATTTCCGTAGTCGCTCGATGCTGAACACAGATGCTTCGAATCGCTGAAGCGCAATATCGATATCAAGCTCGTCCACTTGCCCTTCAACCCAACGAAGGTTCTGTTGTTTCCCATCCACATCAATGCGTAGATCAGATTTGTCTCTTGGGGTATCGGAGAGATCGAAAGCCTCTGGCTTTTTTTGGGGAAGTTGCCGACCAGCCAGATATCCATATGCTTCCAGGGGCTTGCTGGCCGCTTCAGTCTCCGAGCGCATGGTTCGACGCAGGTCCTCAACTGTTTTGCGGAAAGTTGCCAGAAGTTCCTGTTTCGCTGACACGTCATCATGGCGATATGTAAAGGGCTTGGATCCCACACGGATGCTGATTGATCGCCCAATACCCCGATCCAAAGCCTCTTCGCGCGCTTGCCCCGTTCCCAAATTGGCTCCAAGATCAATCATATCAATATCGTTCAGAAGCCAGCAGTCTTCTGCCACTAGCCTCGTTGGAACAGGTCCTCGGTGATTGGGGTGACTTTGGTCGACCCGCTTACGCTTCTTCGCAGCCACGAGCAGGTAATCGTTCAAAAGCACAATGTGAACGGGCCGTCTGGGTTTCCAGGTGGCTGAGTCCAGCTCAACCCAATTGCCAGTCTCTAGGACAATGTGCCGTCCTGGTGCCGCTGGAAGCCACTTCTGTGACCCTTCCACTGTTTTCCACAACGTTTGTAGCTGTACGCTCCACATGCTCTCGAGGTTGGCGACCGAGCTGCGATTGGCATTCCGTTTGGGGAAAGAGTCCTCCATCGGCGACATGGGATTAGGTGAATTTCCTACGCTTGTTTGTCCGAGCGCCGTTGTCAGCTCCGCCATGAGGGTACGGAGGGTCCGCATTTCATCCTTGAGCTTCTCGGCCTCTTTACTGATCTTGATGAATTGGGTGCGGTTCTGATAGACATTTTGCTGCAGATCGGTGGAGGTTCGGTTCTTGACTTTGCGTAGACTTTCTTGGTATTTTTGGATATCTTCCTCGGACGCGTTGGCGAGAAGACTGGCCACATCTAGCATCGGAAACTCCTCGTTAGCTTGTATAAACACACAGCGGCGGGTCATGGAGCTCTAACATCGATCAACTGGAAGACTGGGATCTCGTAGAGCATTGAGGTCGACTTTCGGTGCTGGTGAGTTCAGGTCCGCTGGTGACGGTTGCCTCGGAAGAGCTGCCGGTGCTAATCCGCCACGTCCCCCGGGCACCTGAGTTGGAAGTGCCGGGACAGGAGGAACATTGCCATCAAATTCAGGTGCGCTATTGAACCGAGTCGAGTATCGTCGTTTTACTAAATCTGAGGTCGCATCGTTCTGGGGTGCCCGCTCACGTGTGGGGATTGCGGATGGGCCTGATTCGGGAGACCTGGTATTGGGAGGCAGAGGACCGGATATGGGTTTAGGGGCGCTAATCTGAGGGCGCTGCCGACGAGACTTGCTCCTCAGAGTTAATCCTCGACCTTCCATGGTGATATCACTCAATGTAGCAATAATCAAGGAATGGAAACGTCGCGAGACAAGGGGATGACGCTCGGGCTGCTATGATTATATAATCCATATGCTCCGGACATGTCCAGGGCTGGACATCCTTTTGAAACATTTTTATCACCCCCCAACCACTCAAACCACTATCGCCTCTCCAAGTACCCATAAACTGACTGGGACAAATCCGATCTCTTTAATTTCATCTTATCCCACATTTTCACCATGGCTTTCCGAAACACTGCCATCGTCGCCGGCACGATTCTGACGGGAGTTCTCGGTATGTAGCATTCGTCTCGCCGCGTTCTTCAATTTTTAACCCTTTGTACCAGCCTACGCCGTTTATTTCGATCACAAGCGTCAAAGCGATCCTACCTTCCGCAAGTCGTTGAAGAAGAACAACAAGAAGGTCGAACAAACCGCGAAGCAGGAGGCCGAGGCCGGCGCCGCCGCCAGGGTCGCAGATCTCAAGAATGCGCTCGAACAAGTGAAGAGGAACGGTGAACTTCCAACAGATCTTGAAGAGAAAGAAAGTTTCTTTATGAGCCAAGTCGCATTGGGCGAATCTCTTTGTGCTTCGGAAGGTAAGTTAAATCCACTGTCGCATCCTATTTAGATTCCAAAACGCGGGATCGAGATATAGCTACAACTCGCAATCGAAAAAGAAAAAAAAAAAGCAGATCGCTAACTGCATCTCCAGGCTCCCAAGTCGAAGCAGCAATTGCCTTTTGGAAGGCATTGAAGGTCTACCCCCAGCCTCAGGTAAGTACAAACCATTCCCGGTGTCACCTATTGCCTTGTTTTTCATTTGCAACATACTAACTGCTATAACTACTTAGGATTTGATCGGAATTTACGACAAGACCGTCCCCAAGGAAACCCTCGAAATTCTCGCCGAGCTTATCGCACTTGATGGTGGTCACTCTGCCGGCCCCAAGACTGGCACCGACGATAACATCGAATAGAAAACTGGACCTGGTCTCTCAACAACTTGTATTTTAGATGGAATTCTCAAATTTGTATCACATAATTTATATCCCGGGGAACTAGTATGTGGGTGGAAAACAAAAGGAGTGCGGACGGTTACCATATAAGTTGGACTGATGGCGATTCATTGCCACATACTCCGATTAGATGGAGCAGAAGAGATACCAATCTAAAGCAACCTCTGCTCTTTTGGCTTCTGAGGTAAATAACCTTTCTCCTAGGAAGATGTCTATAGACTGTTCTATTGCTAGAGAAGACGATCTGTCGAACCTTGAAACCCTCTTTTATTTGAGATCTATAGCTATAAACTCCTTTGTAGAGCTACCTTCACAATCTTTTGCCAAGGCATGCCTTGGAGTCAAGACTTGAAGTTAGGAAAGAGAGATAGGTCAGATTTATTCCAGTCTATTAGAAATGGTCATGGGAGAATTTGTATGTACTATAATATGTATAGAACGAGGGTATATAGATAAGAGGTATGTTAGTGAATAGGAAGTTCTGAATTGGGGGCTGTTGAACACCTGGAAAACAAGGCCACTATCTCCGAAGCCCTAACACCTAATCACACCTACATGATCTCACTAATTTTCTATATAACAGAGACTTGGAAGGAAATTTCTGTTTCCTATACCCCTGAATGAATTTTAACACAGCCCAGATAGCCCAGACGTGGCGTCCAAGCAATCATTATTGAAGGGCATCTTGGCCTTGTGATTCTTGGCTAAGTTCATCTGGGAAAGAAGAGAGAAGAGAAGAGATGGACCTTGAACATTTTATATAATTTGTACAATCTTTATAATTTTTATAATTTGTAAAATTTGATATATTTGATATACACTCTATGTACTCTGTACCAATATACTAAATAGTGAAACGAACTGGAAAATGTGAAACCTCCAAGACCTCCAAGACCTCCAAGACCCCCTATTATTTGTTCAGATACTGTAGTTCTCCACTAAATTGAGACCGTTGATCAAATTATTTCAATCGTTTAGATTGGAATTATCTCTCATTTAACTCATTCAAGACCTTTAAAGTCCTTTGATTCCTGTTTTTCTTTTCTTTTCTTTGAGTCGTTCATTCCCTATTCCGCGCCATTGCGCTGTCACTCATTAAGCATCTTATCTTGTTCTTATATCTTATATATTTTTTTTGTTTTATACCCTTTCACAATGATCGTATGTGTCTCATATAATTTATTATAATCTTCGCTAACCTCTCTTAGTCTTACACTCGTCTCTTCGCATCCGTGTGTGCGCTCGCCAGTACCGCGGCCGCTTTGACCCCACTAGAAGTCAGCGGCAAGGACTTTGTTGACTCGAAGACCAACGATCGTTTCCAAATTATTGGTGTTGAGTAAGGCTTACTATTTCTTGCCTGTTCCTTTCTACGGTGGCTGACCCCTCAAATTAGCTACCAGCCCGGTGGTTCGTCCGGCTTCACCAAGAAGCTAGATCCTTTGAGCGATGCAGATGCCTGCCTGCGCGATGCTGCCCTCATGCAGCGCCTGGGTGTAGGTCCAGACCCTATGTTCCTTATCGTACAGCACGCTTATCTCCATAGGTCAACACCATCCGTGTCTACAACCTGGAACCCTCTCTCAATCACGATGAGTGCGCCTCCATCTTCAACGCTGCCGGTATCTACATGATTCTTGACGTCAGCAACCCTCTGGCGGGTGGCTATCTGGACCGCAGTGCCCCCTGGACCACCTACAGCGCCATCTACTACAAGCAGGTGTTCGGTGTTATCGAGGGCTTCAAGAACTACGACAACGTCCTGGGCTTCTTCGCTGGAAATGAGGTGATCAACGAGGATGCCCATTACTTGACTCCCAAGTACATGCGTGCCGTCGTTCGTGATATGAAGGACTACATCGCCAAGAACTCTAAGCGCGCTATTCCTGTTGGATACTCCGCTGCCGATATCCGTGATATCTTGATGGACACTGTTCACTACTTCGAGTGTGACCTCAAGAACTCGACCTCTTCTCGCGCCGACTTCTTCGGCCTCAACTCCTACTCTTGGTGCGGTTCCGCCACCTACAAGTCCAGCGGCTTCGATGACCTAACCGAGGACTTCACCAACGCCACTATTCCCGTTTTCTTCTCCGAGTACGGCTGTAACGATGTCAAGCCCCGTATCTTCACTGAAGTCCAGGCCATCTACGGTGTGGAGATGACCCAGGCTTTCTCTGGAGGTCTCGTTTACGAGTGGACCCAAGAGGACAACGAGTACGGCCTGATCAAAATCAAGGACTCCAAGACCGTCACCACTCTTGTCGACTATGATAACTTCCAGAAGCAGCTCAGCAAGCTTGATATTGATCGCATCATGTCAAGCAACGCCACGCAGGCCAATGTTAAGGCTGAGGAATGCAGTGTCTCACTCATCGGTGGCAAATCCATCGGCAAAGAGCCTTTCTACAACGCCTGGGATTTGCCCGAGGTTCCTTCCAAGGTCTCGGACTACATTAAGAACGGTCTGCCCGATGCCCCCACTGGCAAGTTCGTGTCTGTTTCTTCCACCACCATCCCCCAGAAGGTGTATGACCACACCGGCAAGGAGATCACCGGTGTCAAGTTTGAGGTGAAGAGCAGTGTCAACACCCCCTCTTCTTCCTCCACTTCGAGTACCTCCGAATCGGATAGCTCCGATTCTTCCTCCAGCTCTAGTTCTTCCTCCAGCTCCGGTACTTCGACCCCTTCCAACGCCGCCTCTGTCATTGGCGCTCCCTCGCTTGCCCTCGGTGGTGCAGGAGGTTTCTTCATGCTGCTTGCATCCCTTCTGTAATTGCCTTGATTGCGTTTGACTAGTTCATTCTCGAGTTTCAGTGTTCGGACTGAGACAACCAAGAGGCTGATATCGGGTCTCGATGATTTATTTTCTGTACTGGTTACTCATATCTTCTTCGCCCAGCTTTCTTCTGATTCATTGGTCAATTTGCACATGATTCCTTTGGAGCAATCTACATATTTGATTCTTCTTTTCGTATTTTCAAGCTTCCACCAAAAATCATCGCATGTACATTCGGAAGGAGTCAGTAGACGAAATGCATTATAGCAAGAAACCCTTTTACTTTCTGCTACTGTATTCGTCAATGGCATTCTTGTTTCTTCCTCTTGTGTAAACATCACAGTTTAGAAGAACGATCGTCATAGATTGTAGCACCAATAGCCGACGCCTTCAGCCCTAGTCCTCAGGACCCGCTTCAGAATCTTGCCAAAGACACTCCTAGGAATCTTGTCGATCGGGATGATCCCACCCTTGTGAGGAGCCAGTTTCTCACTGATGTAGGCCACCAGTTCTTCTGCAACCTGCTCCGTCGCTTTCCTCGTTTTCTTAAGAACTACATAAGCAACTGGTATCTCGGACACAATCTTCTGCACAGCGACCCCAATTACAGCGACATCATGGACAAGCGGATGCTCATGTAGGACGCTCTCTATCTCCGCCGGTGAGACTTGGAAACCCTTGAATTCAATGAGGTCTTTTCAACGATCTGTGATGAACAGGTCTCCCACCTCATCTTGGAATCCGATATCACCGGTTTTAAACCATTCATCAAGTGTGGTAGACCGCACCGTGGCTTCGACGTTGTTGTGAAAGCCTTGGAAGATGGTAGGTCCTCGAAGACATAGTTCGCCTTCCCCTTCCCTTACTGGGTTGGCTTGCTCGTCAATGAACTTCACCTCGACTTGAGGAAGTGGAGGACCGCTTGACCCCATTTCTTGATCCCATCGGTTCCATCTCTGTTGGAATCAGTTGGTTAAGCCACGAATTCCTTAGATAGGTCGGGCAGAGGATACCTGGACATGGGAGACACCTGTTGACTCTGTCAATCCAAATCCCTGGCGGACCGGAACCTTTAGACGATCGCAGACAACACGAATCAGATCCGGTGCCAGTGGTGCACCAGCCGAGGTCACCATTCTCAATGATGATAATTGCTCGCGCGTCATTGCAGGATATCTGGCAAGGTATGGAACAATTGGCGGGACAACGTAGACGTGGGTGATTGGTTCACTTTGAACGTTGCGCAAAAAGGCTTTGATGGAGAACTTCTCCAGTATTGTGGTCTCTATTCCCATCAAAAGAGGGAAATATACTAGACACACAAGTCCTTCGAATACAGTGCAATATGGAAGGAGGGAACGCAGACTATGTAAATCATGTCAGATAATTCGGACTTAGGGCTAAATATTTCATATAGTCGTTATGTAGGCTTCCGAGACCCTGAGTTCTTCAAAGCCAAACTTCCCATTGGTTCAGAGATCTTCCAACTATTCGAGATTGATAAACCTCCTATGAAACCCGAGTCTGATCCTGTTTTTTTTTTTTTATGTTACAGCGTGGGCAAGCCTTTCTAGAGGGTGGTTAATGGTATCAGAGGAATGGCTTTGCAGTGTCTTCTCTTTTTTCCCCTTTGCTCGGTACTGTTGCTCAATGGCAATTGAATAATGTTCCAATTCAAATGCAATCACTTGAAAAAATATTAAGTCTGATCCTCTGGGAAATTACACGCAAACTGAAAATGCAAAATGTAAAACTTGTTGACTCTAAATGACCCTCGCTTTCCCCTTGCCCTTGCCTGACGGCGAGGCAGGCATTGGCCTCAGAGATGGGAATTCCTCCCACTCCTCCTCACCACCCTCGCGACTCTTGCCCTCAGCCAAACTGAGTTGAATCGCAAACTCCAGATCATCTATCTCCTGCTGTCTACTGCTCTCGGCCTCCTCGGTTCCAGGTGATGGCTGTCGAGGCGGGTATACTCCTTTGGCGTACTTGATAGGGATAGACGAAGCATGTTCAAATGGCAAAGCAGTACCTTGCTCGTCAAGCAAGCTAAGGCGAATTGCCTCGGCAAGTTCGTCGTCATCATTATCGTCTGCGGGATTTTGATAGAGAGACGAAGAGGAAGACATCTCGCCAGGGCCAAACGAGCTAGGTCCAACAGTGTCGAATGAAGCGCTTGTGACCGAGCTAGAGATTGCGACGCTATCCTTAGGTTTCGCCGCGTCGCCAGAGCAGGCCTCCTCGCTTAGGAGTTGGGCATACGCCAAAAGCTGTTCCTCGTCGATATCTGGTCCAAGAAGATCAATTCCAAAACGCGCACTCAAATGTGCTCGTTCTTTTTCATCGGCAATTTTCTGACGCTCCATATCCACGCGTTCGTCTTCAATGAAATCCTCGATTGCACCGCGACCACTATTGTTGAAGCGTTGGCCTTCGGCGGCCCCGTTGCTGCCACGCAGGAGGTGGCGAAGGCGGCGCTTGCTAGTCTTGTACTGATCAGCCTCGGAAGAACTGTATGACCAGTATCGCAAGTGGGTGCCAAGTGATACCATTCCACGCAGGATGGTCGGGTCGGAATCAAGGCAGATAGCGCCTGTGGCATAGTAATTGTTTCCAACACCTAGAATAGAGGCCTCAGCCTGCACAAGCCGACGACGGGCCCGGGACGAGAAACGAGAGTTGATCGTCCGGATTGGCTTGGTAGATGACGCGAGCGGATCCCAGGCTTGCACAAGGCCATCATTACCGCCATGAACAAGGTACAACGACGTGATGGCCAAGGAAGACACCTGGGGCGAGTCTGTTTGGATGGTGCGCAATGAGGAGATGGAATTGATGATCTCCGTAGACTTCGCCGCCGGGGCTCGGATATCCCAGACAAACACCATTCCTGTGCGGGTTCCAACAGCTAGGTATCGAGCGCGTTGCCCAGGAACTTCCAGGCCCGACCGCGGCTGATCCATATGTGGTAACATTGGGGAAGATGTTGCAGACGAAGTAGAGCTCCCAGACATAACCAAAAGAGGATCCTCTTCGGCTGTGAGAGTCGCGAAATTCGACGCATCCAACGCACTAGTGCTCACTTCTGTTGATCTGCGATCACCAAAAACAAAATCCGACAAATGCCATCCGAAGTGGGTCGAAGGTGAGTCCATCCGTCCAGATGATCGAGAAGGGGGAAGACTGCTGGTAACGGTCGGGCTTGAAATTTTCACCGGGCCGCCGAAGAGTGATAACGGAGTTTCGGTATCCAATATGAGCTCTGGCGTGGCTGGCGTGGCTGGCGTGGCTGAGCTGAAATCAAATCTAGAAGCAGTGCGCATGAACCGCCGGATCGATGCTTTTGCGTCCTCGCCCGAGCCGCGAGCGATGACAATGACCGACTCGCCTGCCCCATATCCGTCATCGCCAGCAAAGTCCACCTTAAGATCGCGCTGCATGTCCCAGCTTTCACACACTTTGCGGAAGTATTTGGGCTTGAAAGAGATAAATTTTTCAATCTCCTTGGTTTCAGCAGCAATCTGGTGTTCATTGAGGCCCATGGAATCCGACGACGATCGCGGACTGTAGCTGCCATCGATCAATTCACGATTAAAGGGGTCTGGGCGTGCCACACGTCTGCTCGCTTCGACCATTTCCCAATGCACACTTCTACCAGTCTTCCAAGCCGCCTCGTCAAGCTGCTCGGTGTTTAGTTTGGCTGTGAGCGGAATATCAGGTGCCCGAGGAAGTTCAGTGAGGTAGAATATTTCTCCTAGGGCATTAAGAGCAACAGCCCAAATTCGCTTTCCAGAATGGCGCTTGGGCGAATATTGATCGTCCACGGCAATTCCAATAATAGGAACACCAGGGCACAGGACCCATCTAGCGGTCACTTGACCTTGGTCGTATCGCCTTTCATAAGTCGGGTGAGGGCCCAAGGAATACGCGGTCAACACGCCTGAAGACGACCCAGACAGCATCCCCACCATCCCCTGGGTTATCTTGAGGATGTGAGGGGATTTGGCAATCCATACCGAACAGACAGCATGTGTGATCATGTTCACGGCGGGGATGCCGAGTGGTGGGTGAGAACCTAAATCCGAAGTTCCCAAGAAACGACCACGCTGCTCCGTCGTTGAGATAAAGTAACTGCGCCCCTGGGGACAGCCTTCGCCATATATCATGCCATATGGTTGACTGACGTCCATTAAGTTGGGCACACCGACCATATCACCCGATCCGAGGCCATATTGCGCGTCACCAGGAAACATATCGGCAAAGTGGCGGAACATTTGGTGGTCAGAGACACCCCAGGTGCCGACTTTTACGGTCGATGGGTCACTGGCAGACGCAATCCCTTGCTCTGCGGCTCCATGGACGAAGAGAGGGTTCTTGTCGGGCCTGAAAGAGGCATGTATGTGACTGACCGGAAAGAGGAGCTGTGATGTATACGTAGCTATGGCACTGCCATGGCGAGCACTCGCCGCGCGTACAGCTCCATGCTTCTTGGGCGGGTCGAACTTGGCCGGTTTGCCCCGGGATAACGATTGCATCAAGCGAGTGCGCAAGATGTATTCGCTGCGCCAGGAGGCTAACGCGGTCAGCCTGGCGAAGAATCGCCTGTCCGACTGTAGATCTGCCGTATCGGTATTGGTACACCGACCATCCTCCACGGCATGTGGCCCGGGGAAGAATCGCGAGAAGGCGATTCTCCAAGCATGAGGAGTGGTCACCAGCGCATGAAATCGACGGGACACCAATGATATGGCAGACAAAGATTGTGGGGGTAGATGCGATAAGATATGGGTGAGAACCTCTGGAAATCACGGTCAGGATTAATTGCGCCGCGGGGGTTGCAGGTCACCTACCATTCGGAAATGCCTCCAGAGACGTTTTCGACTGTCGAATAGCCACTAGGCGTAGTCCAGCATTTTCTGCTTGTCTGGAGGGAATGCGAGCATCCTCATGCTGGCTCACTCGGTGGACCGAGGGCGGGGAAGAGCGACCGTCGACCTCGTTCAAGGACGCGTCAGATTCGTCTTGTGTCGACATGCTCGGGACGTCTGCAGAGTCTCTGATTTCCTCGAGGGTGAGGAGATCAGAGACTTGAGCGTCGTCGAGGTCATGTCCATGCTGGGTGGGACTGATTGTGACTGGGTATGAGTCAACGGGGGGCGTATGTTGAGACACGAGAGTAGGCTCTGGTTGCATAAAAAGGTCTTGACGAAAAGATGAGGTGGTAGCGACTGAGCCAGCGAGAAAGCCTGGGTCAGTCGAGTCTATAAATGCGGGACGAAAAGGATTTATATGAAAGGGAAGCGAGATGTTGAAGAGGGAAAGAAACGGGAGAGCAAAGGTACGGAAGAGGCAAAGTGGCCATCCCGCACATTAACTTGGATATCGCGGTCTATATATACAAAGTCGACTTGTGTCTATATTTTCAACGATCAAGTTAAAATTAACCATTATAATACTCCTTTTTTAATAACCTTTTTTTCTTTACTTTCCTCCCACGATTTTATACTCAATGGCCGCTATCCGGAACGCGTTCAACACGTGACAGCGCGAAGCCTATCACCAACTCTCTACTTGATTGCGAAAATAATGCGATTCTTCTGGAATAGCTCATCGATACACGGAATTTTACCAGTCATCTGCCCCCACGGTGCTTCATCAAACCCCGATAACTCGCATAAACAGAACAACAACGCTGGATGAGACACGTGAGTTCGGTCGACCAAGATGCCTGGAGCAAGTGGTAACACACTCTCGATACCAAATCGGTATGCAGCTTACTGATATCTCCATAGGGGCAGAAACCATTCGCATTCTCATCGCCACTGATAACCATGTCGGCTACAATGAGCGAGACCCCATCCGTGGGGACGACAGCTGGAAGAGCTTCCACGAAATAATGTGCCTGGCCAAGGAACGGGATGTCGATATGGTTCTCCTGGCTGGAGATTTGTTCCACGAGAATAAACCATCACGGAAATCCATGTACCAGGTCATGCGGTCGATTCGCATGAACTGTTTCGGGGACAAGCCGTGTGAACTGGAGATGCTCAGTGATGCAAGTGAGAACTTCCAGGGGGCGTTCAATCATGTCAACTATGAGGACCTGGATATGAACGTGGCGATTCCAATTTTCTCCATCCACGGGAATCACGATGATCCCTCGGGC